CGCCTGGCGTCGCATCTCAAGCGGAAATCGTTATTAGCAAGTACGTTCCTTTCTTTCACACACACACACACACACACACACACACACACACACACACACACACACACATATATATATACGCGTATTTTATCGGCTTCTCACCTCTCACCATCTGTGCTCCAATACTCCCGGAGTTCCGGTCGTCTCGCGAGAAGTTCTTCTCTATGATCGCCGCCGTTTTTTTTCTCTCCTCCTTTACGATGTCGTCGGTCCTACGGAACTGCGTGCGAAAACTAGTGCTCTTTTTCTCTTCCTCCCACGCTGTTAACCACCGATGCACCTGAGAGACTTGGAGAACAAGGCAAGAACACGATCCTCGCTCGTCGAGCGTCCCGCGCGGACTGGTCGGCGCGCTCACCGACGCTCGCGCGCCTCCGCTTCGATGTCGACTGTAGGCAGCTTCGCGGCGCGGTCGCTGCGGATGGAAGGGGTTGCAGCCGCCGTATTTTATCGAGTTCGTTTGCTCGTCTGCACGCAAAACGAACGTCGGCGATTTTCAGCTAATTAATTAATTTTCATTAATGCATCGAATTTATCTGAAACTTCAGACTTTTTTGAGGAATGGCGTAAATCTCGGTATTTTTTACAGAATAACCGCGATAATGCTTGCTGAAGAAAGTTATTTGTTGCAGTTAATAATCGCTGATGAAATAATTTCTTATCGTGATAACGATCTATCGATCGAAGATAATGTAGAGAAACCAAAGTACATTATTACAGCAAACGCGAGAAAAGATTCCCGGTAATGAAACTCTTGCCATTTCCACCGTATTTCTTTCTCAACATCCTTAAGTCTTCTTCGATAGCAAAACAACCGCATTGTATGTTCCACATATAGGCCACATGTTTTTCGCATGCTGGCCACACATCAAGCCAAAATATCGTATGAGGCGCGTGCCGGCGAGAATTCTTTTTCCGATTAAGATTGCTCATGCTCCGTTCTAATTATATGTTTCTAATTACCATACTATATGTGTTTATATGTGTATACTATTATATGTGTATTACTATTATATGTGTATATCCCGAGAGTGTCCCGAAATTAGCGAATTAGAATATTGCAACAAGAAAATTTTCAAAAGATTAAATAAAAAAATTATTTGTAAGTTTTTATTTTAAGCAATAGTTTATGAAATAATTTAAATATGACCAATTACGAACTACGTTTAAATGGAAGAGTATTTGTCCCTATTAATGTACTTTTAAGTCAATTTACTCATTACTGAATGAATTATTAATTATTGCTTTAATTTTGTTTGCTTGAAATCAATATCTGCTTTTCAATATTTCTTTTTTTTATAATATTTTTTAATTTAAAAATTAACATTTTATAATATTTTTAATAAAAATTAAAAAAGTTTTTATTGTTCTCTATTAATGTGCCCTCAATCTTTATACCTATCTATATTTGTCCAGCTTGAATATTGACTCATTTTAACATATTATAATACTAAAATAGATGTAAAACTATTTAATAGATGTAAATTATACATAAACTATTTTGAAACGTAAATTATTTAATTTAATATTGTATAAATAATTATTTTAATTATACAATTATTTTAATTATATTTACAATTTCAATGTACATTCATAATATTGGATT